TGACCAGAGACTGCAGACAGTGAAGGGAATGACCAGAGACTGCTGACCTTTGGGGAGGGAGAGGGAGCGGGTACCTGAATTTGACAGGTACCCACTCCCACTTCCGCGGAGTTGCCTTCCCTCTTCTGCCCGGGCCGGCTTCTGTGACAGCCGGGTGCCCACTGCGCATGTGCGTGAGGCGCTGCGCTTTGTGAATGGCCCGGCGCCTTCTGGGACCTTTCATGTGTCCCAGAAGACACCGGATCATTCACAAAGTGCAGCACATGCACAGTGGGCACCCGGCTGTCACAGAAGCCAGCGCGGGAAGACTGTGCAGCGCTGGAGCGAGGAACAGGTAAGGCCCTGCAGGAGACAACAGCTGAGCGGCCGGCCCGGTATTCTGACATGGTGGCCGCAAAAATACCGGACCGGCTGCTTTATATTCGCTCCATAAGACGCACTGACATTTTCCCCCTTTTTTGGGGGGAAAAAAGTGCGTCTTATGAAGCGAAAAATACGGTATATATATATATATATAAATATATATACTGTATATACAATGTATGTACATATATACAACAGGAGAGTTAATACAGTGCTGGAAAATAATGGTGGGTGGCCACACAAAATATTGACATTTTGGGCCCAATTTGGACATTTTCATTTGGGGGGTGTACTCACTTTTGTTTTATTTTGAGGGGACAGCAAATTTACACTTTTATACAAGCTGTGCACTCACTACTTTACATTGTAGCAAAGTGTTATTTCTTCAGTGTTGTCACATGAAAAGATAGAATAAAATATTTACAAAAATGTGAGGGGTGTACTCACTTCTGTGAGATACTGTATATATATATATATATACACTGTATTGTCAAAAGTATTTGGACGCCTGCCTTTACATGCATATGAACTTCAATGGCATCCCAGTCTTAGTTCGTAGGGTTCAATATTGAGTTGGCCCACCCTTTGCAGCTATTACAGCTTCAACTCTTCTGGGAAGGCTGTCCACAAGGTTTAGGAGTGTGTCTATGGGAATGTTTGACCATTCTTCCAGAAGTGCATTTGTGAGGTCAGGCACTGATGTTTGACGAGAAGGTCTGGCTCGCAGTCTCCACTCTAATTCATCCCAAAGGTGTTCTATCGGGTTGAGGTCAGGACTCTGTACAGGCCAGACAAGTTCCTCCACCACAAACTCACTCCTCCATGTCTTTATGGACCTGGCTTTGTGCACTGGTGTGCAGTCATGTTGGAACAGGAAGGGGCTATCTCCAAACTCTTCCCACAAAGTTGGGAGCATGAAATTGTCCAAAATTTCTTGGTATTCTGATGCCTTGAGCCTAACCCCTCAAAAACAACCCAACATTATATTCCCCCCCTCCAACAAACTTTACACTTGGCACAATGCAGTCAAGCAAGTACCGTTCTCCTGGCAACCACCAAACCCAGACACGTCCATCGGATTGCCAGACAGAGAAGTATGATTGGTGACTCCAGATAGCACATCTCCACTGCTCTGAGTCCAGTGGCAGCATGCTTTACACCACTGCATCCAATGCTTTTTATTGCACTTGGTGATGTAAGGCTTGGTTGCAGCTGCTCATCCATGGAAACCCATTCCATGAAGCTCTCTATGCACTGTTGTTGTGCTAATCTGAAGGCCACATGAAGTTTGGAGGTCTTTAGCTATTGAGTCTGCAGACGGTTGGCGACTTCTGCACACTGACCGCTTCAGCATGCGCTGACCCTGCTCTGTCATTTTACGTGGCCTACCACTTGGTGGCTGAGTTGCTGTTGTTCCAAGATGTCTCCACATTGTTATAACAGTTGATCGTAGAATATTTAGTAGCAAAGAAAATTTTGTGGATGGACTTATTGCACAGGTGTCATCTATTACGGTACCACACTTGAATTCATTGAGCTCCTGAGAGCGACCCATTCTTCCACAAATATTTATAGAAGCAGTTTGCATGCCTAGGTGCTTGATTTTATACACCTGTGGCCATGGAGGTGATTGGAACACCTGAATCCAATTATTTGGAGCGGTGTCCCAACACTTTTGGCAATATTGTGTGTGTGTGTGTGTGTGTATATATATATATATATATATATATATATTTATAACAATTTGTTTGCTGAGACAAAATATTGTATATACTGTATTAAAACAAGATTTTGGCTTAACAAACAAATTGTTTTATATATATTTTTTCCATCACACTTTGTAATATAGATACCCCTACCAGGCAACACAGCAGGAATCCAATATCCACTGGTTAAGCAGCTTGGTTGTAAAAACACACTTCAATCTGCTGATTGGACATTGAAGGTGCAGCAGCCTGGTAGTCTCTCTGGTTGCTGACTTCTCCTCTCTTGGCCTGTGTGCTGCTGTGCAGGAGATTACAGGGGACTGCCATCCAACTCACGGCTATCTTTTGTGACCAATAATATGTCTCATAAAGCTACCTTCAAAGATCGGTTGCTTGCAAGCCAGCCATGTCACCATACAAAATATTATTTTTTTAAGCATTTGCAGTAGGTGAACATGCAAATCTGAACTATGCAGAAAGAAGTGAAAAAAAATGACCCAGTGATCGTTCCGTACCCTAAGGGCTTGTTCACACTCGACTAAATTTCGAACTCTTACCAAACGCTCCTGTAGCTTTAGTATAGGCATTAGACAGGCATTAATGAGCTTTAGTATGGGCGTTAGAATGGCTTTTTACAAGTGTTAAAAAAGCTTCTCAAATGCCCTATGTGCAGTTTTGAAGCATTTTATAAGCATTTGACAAGCGTTAAAACCACACCACAAACTAAAAAACTGTAATGTTATTAATGCTCTGTAAATGCCTTGCAAACGTTTGCTAGTGCGTTTGAGGAGTATCACCATAGACTTGAATGGGGGGCATTGAAAGGCGTCAAACTCCTCCTGACTGGACATGAGGCTTCAATTTTAACACAACGCGTCGCTAACCCTTCATGTTTTGATAATGTGAACAGCACTGTGTGCTACCCATAGTATCATTTGCATAGGCTTTTGAGGAGCTTTAAAAATTCCCCTCAAGGGTATTGGCAGGAAATTATCCAAAACATTCCAGAGATATGTAGGATTATTCTACAGAGAGACCAGTGGTAATGTTTATTTTATAATTTTGAGTCTTCGGTGAAATTTCATGAAAATATTGTGTTGTATCATTTACTTAGTGCAGCTAAGGGTTGATTCCCAAGTTATGGCAAGCTCCAGAGCCCCCAAGAATAAGTGATTGGATAAATAGAGCTGAAGATATATATAGGATGTAGGAATTGTATCACGTGGAGGAGGACAAAATGTAAAAATTCAGGAAAACGTGGAATAAGTGGTAAGGTTTTAAAAGATCTAAAAGATATCTGGATTAGTCTGGAGTTTAAGGTGAAAAGTCTACTGGAGAAGTGGAATGAGGGAGTGGAGGGAGCAGATGAAGGGACATGGATATAGGTAGAAATATATGGGAGGAAATAGAAATGAGGAAAACGGATATGGACTGGGGTATTTAGAAGGGGGGAGGGAGGATAAGTGGTGTAGGGGGTAAGGTTAAACAGAATGGAATTTGTATTTCTGTGAATTGTATGAGTATATGGTTCTTCTTTCTTTTGTATGGAAAAAAACGTAATAAAATATTAAATAAAAATGCCCCTCAAATGGCTGCTTTTAATGCCAGTGTGAACTAGGCCTAAGAATACTTGGCCAGGGAAATCTGCATGGTTCATGGAAGAAGTACAGACATAAGATTGTTGCATAGTCCAGCTGTAAGCATCTGGGTCAGGTGATATTTCTCTTCTGTTGTCACTAGTATTACTACATCTAGTCCAGTATAATATCTGTTGACTGATGAAATAGGCTTTAATAAAAGAAGAGATACCTAGAGAAAACAATACAATTTCTGGTGTTAAAAGGAGAATGCAATTTACTAACTGTGCTAAACTAGCTATGCCAACTAACAATGTTGCTCAGAATGGCAAGCAGAAACATGCCTACTCCTTGATAAGCACATAGTTTAATAGGAAAAAAGATGGTGTTCTTTATTTACCAAGGATAGGTGTTAGTTATAAGGAATGGTGCTTCATCTGCTTCAATTAAAATATGTCCTATGTGTCTTATATGTACCAGTTTCAGAAAATGTTGCCTTCTCTTTGCCAACAACAGAAAAGTATGTCCTGTTTGGCTTGGTAGCAAAAGCAGGAACACAAAGTTGCCAGTAGTGAGATTCATGCCAATATCGACTCAAAAACATGCCTTATCTATGACAGCTAAATGGAAATGTGATACACCACCATAACTGTGTGGAACCCATATTGTATTGGGGTCCTCTAGACATAAGTGGCATTATATGTGCCAAATAAGGGGACAGGTATTCTGTCTGCACAAATTAGAAATAATCTAACCCTAATAATATTCTGAGCCATGTGACAACAGAAATTGGATTTTGTTTTGGATTCCCATCCACATGGGGGTTCTTCTATAATTTGTACTTTACATCACTGATACTCATTTAGTACATGTCCCAGTGACAGCATTGTCAATAGAACAAAAAAGTGATGGGAAATCTCCTCAAGAGAAAGCAAAACAAGCATGCCTAAAGGATCAAACCCTTCTCATCCTTTCCAAAACTAAAAAAAAGTAAATGCTCAAGCTCAGCTTTGATTAGAAAGAACCACTGCTGTAATAACTAGCTGAAGTAATGATAGCTAAACTATTGGTAATCATTGATTGGTGCTATGCACAAGTACTAGACATGTGCATTTCATTTTGTAACAAATTGATTTTCAGACAAAAATTAGATTTTCGGCGATTTGAATGTATATGAATCTCAGAATAGATATAATAAGGAATGTCAACAACTCCAAAAAAGTTATAAAGAAAATTAACAATTTGTTTCATTTGGATGATATCACATGATGCAATAGTAGCTCAGGCCCTTGGGAAAATATATTCAACTTTTGAATTTGTTTGATAACTCGGATTCAAGTAAAGTTGTGATTTAACCTTCCTGGAGGTATTCCCGAGTGTAGCTCGGGGTAAAGTTTCAGCACCACAAGTGGTAACCCCGAGCTACACTCTGGAATACCATGCAGCGTTGCTTCGGGATCCCTCGATCACTTATCTTGTCCTGCGCTCCCGCGATGTCCCCCCTGCAGCGTCCCTGGCCATCTCCTTCGGCTGATGCCGGCATCCGTCTTCCGGGGTTCCGTTCCCTGCGACGTCGGGACGTATGGGGACGGAACGGTGGGAAATTTAAAAATGTCAAAAAGTAACATTCACTACTATACTAAAATCACATAGTAAAACATTACTGTATCAAAGCATTTCACATACATTTATCCCTACTGCTTTGTCCTGTGCCCTGCCTGCATTTTTACTGTTCTTTCTGCCTGGAAACTGAGAAACGTCCATGGAGTCCAAAAAGCGTCCCTTTAGGTCAAAAGCGGTTTTAGACCAGCTAGAGAACAGCGATAGTAAATTAGAACTACTTGCAGAATTGAGTGATAATGATTCGTGGGGAAATTCGTCATCAGACACTGAAAACGATTTTGCGACTTTGATCAGTGATGTGCGAACTTGGCGCTGTATTTCAAATTTCAGTGTTTTTGGTTTGATTACATTATTGAATTACATTTATTATTATTATATTATTATTTTTTATGATTATTTGTTAAATTATAATTTATGATTTCGTGTTTCAAATTTTAACATACCCGGGATGTTTACTAGACTCTTGTTCGGACAGATTTCAGTGAGTTATTCCTAAAAATTACAGGCCTACAATAAAAAAACGACATATTTCCATGCAAAAAAATGTACCACTTTTCCACAGTCTAATGTAATTCTCAGGCTTGAAAAAGTCGAGGCAGCCGAATATTGCATTTATTCCATCGCAGTCAAAAAATCGAATCCATCTAAATAGTTTTGATACATGAATATTGAATCTACCTGAAATATATATCAGTCTTCAGAAAGAAACGTCTAAATTTTAAAAATCCACACGGACCAACAAATATATGAAACGAATGATGACGATATAAAACAAATTCCGAAAATGAATTGGTTCAAGAAAATGAATATGACAGAACAAAATTCTTCAATGAATGAATTTATCTAAAATGCTAATTTTTGGCATGCTAGCTAATACCAATGCTGCCTATCCATACAGACTGTTTTTTTATTTGTTTTTTACTAAATACCCTTTACTAGCAGTAAAATACAATAGTGAACTGCATACACATTTCCATAGCTTAGGGGACAAGTGCCTTGTCATTAACAGAAGAGAACTAGAAAGGCTGATTACAATGTTTGAGATTTCAGTTCAATGCACAAGAATTTACAAGCACTTTGAAGTTCTGACAGTATTAATACAGGTGAAACTCGAAAAATTAGAATATCGTGCAAAAGTTCATTTATTTCAGTAATGCAACTTAAAAGGTGAAACTAATATATGAGATAGACTCATTACATGCAAAGCAAGATAGTTCAAGCTGTGATTTGTCATAATTCTGATGATTATGGCTTACAGCTCATGAAAACCCCAAATCCACAATTTCAGAAAGTTAGAATATTATATGCAATCAATAAAACAAGGATTGTACATAGAACAATATCGGACCTCTGAAAAGTATAAGCATGCATATGTACTCGCTACTTGGTTTGGGCCCCTTTTGCAGCAATTACTGCCTCAATGCGGCGTGGCATGGAAGCTATCAGCCTGTGGTACTGCTGAGGTGTTTATGGAAGACCAGGATGCTTCAATAGCGGCCTTCAGCTCTTCTGCATTGTTCGGTCTCATGTCTCTCATCTTTCTCTTGGCAATGCCCCATAGATTCTCTATGGGGTTCAGGTCAGGCGAGTTTGCTGGCCAATCAAGCACAGTAATCCCACGGTCATTGAACCAGGTTTTGGTGCTTTTGGCAGTGTGGGCAGGTGCCAAGTCCTGCTGGAAAATGAAGTCAGCATCCCCATAAAGCTCGTCTGCGGAAGGAAGCATGAAGTGCTCCAAAATCTCCGGGTAGACCCTGGACTTAATGAAGCACAGTGGACCAACACCAGCAGATGACATGGCTCCCCAAATCAACACAGACTGTGGAAACTTCACACTGGACTTCAAGCATCTTGCAGTGTGTGCCTCTCCATTCTTCCTCCATACTCTGGGTCTTTGGTTTCCAAATGAGATGCAAAAGTTGCTCTCATCAGAAAAGAGGACTTTGGACCACTGAGCAACGGACCAGGTCTGTTTTTCTTTAGCCCAGGTAAGACGCTTCTGACGTTGTTTGTTGTTCAGGAGCGGCTTGACAAGAGGAATACGACATTTAAAGCCCATGTCCAGGATCCGTTTGTGTGTGGCAGCTCTTGATGCACTGACTCCAGCCTCAGTCCACTCCTTGTGAAAGTCCCCAACACTTTTGAATGGCCTTTTCCTGACAATCCCCTCCAGGCTGCAGTCATCCCTGCTGCTTGTGCACCTTTTTCTTCCACACTTTTCCCTTCCACATAACTTTCTATTAATGTGCTTTGATGCAGCACTTTGGGAACATCCAACTTCTTTTGCAATTTACCTTTTGAGGCTTTTCCTCCTTATGGAGGGTGTCAATGATGGTTTTCTGCACAACTGTCAGGTCAGCAGTCTTTCCCATGATTGTGATTCCTACTGAACCAGACTGAGAGAACATTTAAAGGCTCAGGAACCCTTTGCAGGTGTTATGGCTTGATTAGAGTGGGACACTTGGAGCCGAGAATATTGCACCTTTTCACAATATTCTGATTTTCTGAGGTTGTGAATTTGGGGTTTTCATGAGCTGTAAGCCATAATCCTCACAATTATGACAAATCACGGCTTGAACTATCTTGCTTTGCATGTAATGGGTCCATCTCATTTATTAGTTTCACCTTTTAAGTTGCATTACTGAAATAAATGAATTTTTGCACGATATTCTAATTTTTTGAGTTTCACCTGTAGATATTTTTCTGTATTTGCTGAGAAGGTGCTGAGCATGAAAAAAGAAAACTAATGTAGCCAACACATCTAAGGACTGGCAAGCTACAGTAAATAAAAATGTTGCTCTTGGGTTTAGAAATACTTTAAGAAACTAGGATATAGTAATACACTTACTGAGAAATAAGAATCGTGCTACTTGGCTCTCACGTCTGTGCAGAGCTGGTTCACACTGTCAGCTGACAGCACTTATAAACAGATTTGTGACACCTGAGACATAGCAGATTTGCTTGACATGTGTGAAAGGGAGAGAAGAGATACTTGAGAAGTATATACAGATAGTTTTCAATATAATATATGTGTGAAACATACAAAATATTGTGTTTCTGAATTAGTTAGAGTGAGCTAGAAGAATGTTAATTTCCGTGTGGCTGACCAACATCAGTTTCTTCCATGATACGGTAATCCTTGTGAAATCTTCAGATCGGGTTATGACATCAAAGCATGTCTTGACGCAACTGTCAGAAGGTACACGAACAATTGCTACCCACAAAATCTCTCCACTAATCTAAAATCATAAACTCTGTTTGGTTTACTTGTCATTTTTTATGTAATCCCTCATAAAATGTATTTTGAGCAATCATCCTCTCATGGTCAGAAAGGGGTAGTGTGTGGATTAATGGAAGCACAGACCTGCACTTTCCCAGGTTCATATTAAAGTGGAAAAACTGTAACTGCTGACTTTTAATAAACACACACTTACCTGTCCTGGGGTCCAGCAATGCACTCACCCACTCAGTCCCTTCTCTCCTTCTGTCCTCCACGGCGCTGGCATCTCAACTGTGGGCACCAGGCTGTGACAGCTTGCGGCTTCACAGCCTGGTCCCCACTGCGCATGCGCGAGTCGCGCCACGCCTCCTGATTGTTCCAGCAGTCTCCTGGGACCTGTGAAAGTTCCCAGGAGACTGCAGGAGCAAGGAGGGGGCTGACGAACTGAGCCAGAAGTGGGAGTGAGTACCTGTCAAAACCAGGTACCCGCTCCCCCCCAAAAGGGTGCCAAATATGGCAGCGGAGGGGGGAGGAGGCAAATAAGTGGAGCTTCGCTTTTGAGTGGAACTCCACTTTAAGTCATGCTCTGGCATGGAAGCCCATTCATTGGAATGGGCTGTTGTGCCCATATTTCCTGCAGGAAAAAGGTGCATGCACCTTTAAAAAACACGGGCGCATGGAAACTGCATGGTCTATTTGACCATGCGGTTTCTATGCAGTTCCCACACCTGCAATCATGCTGTAGGCTGAGATGCGTGGGGGTGCCATTCAGAAATTATTGGCAGCTTTGCGCGTCTCATAAGTGCAATTTGGCTGTGGGTGGTTGTGGGAACAGGTGCAATTCCATCACTTGCAACCAGCCCACAGACTGTAGGCAAGTGTGAACCTAGCGTTAGGGCCAATATGGGCAGTACAGTGGCTAAATGGTTAGCACTTCCACCTGACAGTACTAGCAATATTGTTTTGAATCCCTACCACGACACTACATGCCTGGAGTTTGCATGTTCTCCCTGTGCCTGCGTGGATTTCTTCCGAGTACTCTGGTTTCCTCCCACACGCCAAAGACAAGCTGGTAGGTTAATTGGATTCTGTCTAAATTGGCCCTAGTATGTGTATGTATGTAAGATAGGGACTTTAGATTGTATGCCCCTTCAAGGATTAGGGACTGTTGTGAATGTACAATATACAGTATTTATGTAATTGTATATGTGCTGCATAAAATTGATGGCACTATATAAGTACCTGTAATAAATAAATATATCTGAAGATAAGACTTAAGACTAGTTAGCACCATTTAGATTTCTCTTGTCAAAGACATCAATGTTGTATCGTGACAGCCGTAGCACACCTGATTGGATGCAGCAACTCCTCAGGCAACAATTTTCCACCCAGCTCCTTCAATTTTTCAGTCAAAGTCTGTTGTCAACAGGGCCACCAATAGCTTGACTTTTGTAATATTCAACAGGAATTCAAGCCGTGCATGACCAGCTTAAAGCAGAATTCTGGGATTGCAAAAAATGCACTTGCACTGGGGTCCCACTATATTACTTACTGTAAGTCACAATCTAGTTTCAGCACTGTCCTCTTCTCTCTGGTGCCCAAGCTGTGGACATTCCCTTTAGCCTTATGGGATACAGTGTAGGGCCAGAGCCAGATCTAGCCTGTCTGATTTGGGGGTGCAGTAAAAAATGTCAGGGGGCAGAGGATGCAAGGTCAGTAGGGCAGTGTATAAGAGTCAGCAGGGTAGTGTACATGGGGTTAGCAGGGCAGAGAATAGGGTCAGCAATTTGTAAGGTAGTGTACAGATGCCATTAGTTTGTAGGGCAGTTTACAGTGGGTTATTAA